TACATTGCAGTCACTGGAGAAGATCAATTTCCTTTTAATACCAACGCATTCCACCTGTGTTACTTCCAAAAAGAAGTGTTAGCTGCCAGGCAAATATCAGAACACATCATAATCGGAGGGGACTGGAATGCACATCATCCAGCTTGGTTGGATAAAAATATTGATGAAATGGGAGAAGCAATTCTTGAATTTATCACATCGAACGATTTGCACATCTTAAATTCATTTCCATTTGATTGCACATATCAAAACAATAACGCATCATCCTGCATTGATATTACATTATGTTCCTCATCATTGGTGGGACTTTGTAGTAATTGGAGGACAGATGATGATGAATTGGATGTCCACTCTGGTCATCTTCCAATCACATTCAATATTCTTGCACAATGGGCACCTCAAAATATCAAAAGACAAAATATTGTAACTTGGAATTTATCAAGCGACCAGTGGGAAATGTTCCGCCATTATCTTGCAGCAAATTTGAAAGTTTGGAGTGACTCCATCCCAAACTCCCTCCAAGGTTCCTCAGACGCTCTGGATCAAGCAGTAGAGGCTTGGACTCATTGTGTAGTCGAAACGGGGAAAGCCACCATTGGACAAAAAACCATCTGGAAAGGAAATAAACCTTGGTGGAGTAATAAGCTGCACAAGATGCGCAAGAAGGTGCACCAATTGAAAAGAAACTTTAGGAAAAATAGAACGTCAGAAAATTATGAAATATACAAGGAAGCAGCTCGTACACTCAAAAGGAATCTCCGGTGCGAAAAACAGTTACACATTACAAAAAGTATAGAGTCCCTACATGAAGGAAATACGAGACAGCTGTTCTGCAAGTTTCGGTCATTAAATTCAAACAAAATTGCCATTATTCCATCATTGGTGTCACCAGGAAAAGATGGAACCACACATCAAATCGCAGAAAATGATATTGACAAAGCGAATTTGCTAGCACGTTGGTTTGCTCAACCACCACAGCCTCCAAAGCCATCGAATGAAGATGCAGAACATTACGAATATGTTAAAGACGAAATATGTTCGGTTGTGCAGATGTCAAGAGAGTCTGAATTGGATACGAGTTGGCTCATTCTTGAATGGCATCAAGCGGACATCACTGAAGAAGAAATAATAGAGGCAATTGGGCAAGTATCTTCCTTTAAATCGCAAGATCCGGACAACATCCACAACTTGATGCTGAAAAAAGGTGGACAAAGTTTAATAGATTCGCTGGTTATGCTATCATTGCTATCATGTGTGGGAAAATTGTTGGAACGAATAGTGACGATGAGATTAATGCGATATTTAAATGAGCGTCAAATGTTACATCAAAGCCAGGCTGGGTTCCAGTCTTGGCATAACACATCAGAATTAATCCTGAAACTATCGGAGTCTATTCATAAATCATTTAATAAAAAAGGATTGACATACGCAACAATGTTGGACATCTCAGAAGCGTATGGCAGTGTTTGGCGTGATTGACTACGTTCCAAAATGAGGCACGAATTTAACCTGCATGGAAGACTATACTGGTGTATTGACAGTTTTCTATCAGACCGATTCGGACAGGTCGTCCTGAATGGAGTGAGTTCCTCAATGTACGAATTTAGCACAGGAGTACTTCAGGGATCGTCATTGTCCCCTTTATTGTTCCTGTTGTACATTAATATCTCACAAAGGAAGTCCATGACCGATTCAATGTGGCATGTTTACAGATGATGTGGCATTGTGGACATCTATTTATACGTCAAATATGGACGAAATGAGCAACCAAATACAGCAACTACAAAGTAGTCTTGATGGAATATCTTCATAGGCTTCCAGATGGAAGATGCTGATGTCACCAGACAAATCACAGTGTATCAAGCTTCGTCAAAAGAACAAGCGAAAGTATCCACCATTATCACTCCATCTTGTGGATGCAAAAATTCCAGAAACAAATCAAGTCAAGTATTTGGTATTAATAATGGACTCCCAATTGAATTATCGTGATCACATTAACTATGTTTACGGCAAGGCAGCAAGGAAACTTGGTTATT